TTGGTGAGTGCACACCTAAAGGGGGAGCACAGCACAATTTGGATATTTATTTATTTACAGTCACGTGGTGATTTATTTTGAAAAATTCAACCCACATGGTGATTTTAAAGAGGATTTTTATTGATGGACTTTTTGTTTGTGAATTTTTTTCCTTTTATTATATATGATTTACAGAGCGCTGCATGTATATTTTGGGAGTTCAAAATATCATTTATTGGTTACAAAGTGTTATTAAAATGCCCAGTATGCATGGAGTCTAAGGCTTCAGATGAAATGCGTTAAGCTTTGTTGTTCTTATGGATGCTCAGGACTGTTTGCACTTTTATTAAACCCCTGCAGGTTTAAGCCATAATGTACTAGTATGTACCGTACACAAGTACATTATGACAGACTTACCTATAAACGGAGCCCTCCAGCAATGCGTTGTCAGGACACTCTCCGATCCCCAGCGGCTTCCATATTCACCTGATCTTCATTCTGGGTTTCACATCTTCGGAAACTTGATTGGCCAGGCTGATGTGACATCACTCCTGCGTATACATATAAGAGTCTTATCGCTGCGGCACAGAGAGCGAGCCATAAATGTAGTTTGAGCTGCGCATGTGCAACTCAGATCACATTACCCGCTGACAGGCAGGGGAGACATGTATGACAGAAGAGACCTCTAGGGTCTCTTCTGTTATAAAAAAGCCTGCCTGTCAGCGGATGTTCATATATTGACTTTACTACCTATAATAAAATATTACTAAAGATCATAAGTGGACTCCAGCTTTCTTATCTGTTTTGGATGCGGACAGGAATCAGGCCATTTGAGAACAAACATCGCTGGAGAGTATTTTTGGTAAGGAGGCCACTTTGTGTGGTCAGGCCATGTAAGTACCTGGATTTGATCTGCCATCAAACTCTTGCAGTCTCTATATATCAGTAGTGAAGAGTGAGGAAGGAGTCAATCAGTTCATAGTATGTAGACAAGAAGCATGCTGATAGGAAGAAAAAGCAGAGTGACAGAGAGATGAGCTCATCACTGTGCTGCTTCTCCTTTCATTGTCCAGTCACAGGCTGGGGTGGGTCCAGAATGACTGCAGGGGAAATGTTTGCAATACATCTCAATTACTGCACCAAAAGCTGGTTTTGTCATTTGTTTTTCTTTCAATGGACTATTCATTTTATCTTGTTATATTTGACTGGAATTCTGCTTTCATTACTAATTTTAAAATTGACATATCAGTCTCCTACAAATGTATTTTTTTGATGATCGTGATGGGTGATGTAATACACTGCATGAGATATACTGTACATGTTAACACCTTTCAGTAACTACTGTACATCAAACGCATGTTGGAGAGTTTAACCCTCAGAGTGACTTACATGTACCCTGCAGTTAGAAGAAAAAAAGACTCCTCCATTGTGAGATATTAATAACCACTTAAATATTGGGCACTTTCACCTCCTTCCTGCCCAATTTTCAGCTATGTCGCATTTGTCCACACAAATATAGTTTTCTTTTGGTGGTATTTAAACACCACTGGGTTTTTCATTTTTTGCTAAATAAACACAAAAAGACCAAACATTTTTTTAAAAATGCATTTTTCTTATTAGCAAAAATTAATAATTTTTCTTCATAAATTTAGGCCAAAATGTAATCTGCTACATTGCCTTGACGAAAATAACCCAAATCAGTACATACCACAAACTATGGTATGTACTGTATCTGAACATCAATCAATCCTGATTTACTGACTGCCTAAAAATGAGGCCAAAAAAATGTCAGGACAGAACAGATATCCCCAAAATGACTCCTTTTTGGAAACTAGACAGTCCAAGCTATTTAGTAAGAGATATGGAGAGTTTTTTGAAGTTGTCATTTTTTGTAATAGTTTTTTGGAAAATGAAATAATTTTTTTTCTAACATACTGTCACGAGTGCAGTACAGCATCATCATATAACTGGCATGGAGGTGTGGAGGTAATCCGGGACACTGACTGGTGACGTACGGGAAAAAAAAGAATAATCTTTTTTTACATTTTTTTATCTTTTGTTTCTTTTTGTTTTATATTTCTTTTCTTTATTTACATTTTTTAATGCACTGAGACCAGAGCAATACTGTGTTACCATAGTAACATCGTACTACTCTGGGTAAGTGATCAGGGTTTTTATTTTTACACATTATGATTGCTTTTCACAATGAATTTGACTGTCATAAGCAAGCATTTTTACGGAATGAAATTGATTCATTCAGTACGTATTGTGATTAGCTGTGATTGGCCACAGCTAATCACATGGTACAGATGGGCTGTGATTGACCCTGTCTCTACCATGTGATCACTGTGCCCAATCACAGCTGGCAACACAATTATACACAATGAATGGCATGAATCAAAGCCATTTATTGCTTACAATTATCATGTGATCTGCTGTGATTGGACACAGTGATGGTACAGTAATCTGTCATCAGCTGTGTCTGTTAGCTGCATGCAAATTGCATTCTGGAAGGACGTCATACTACGTCCACCCAGAATGACGAAAGCCCTGCATGGCTGCCATTTTGCAATACGCCAGGCAGAAAGGTGTTAACACGTACAGTATATCTCATGCAGTGTATTACATCACCCATCATGATCATAAAAAAACTGGGGGAGTGTTGTCACAGATTGACAAAAGATATGTTTTGCTTTTACGCGAATCAACAGTCTCTTCTTCAAAGCAAAGAATTGCAAGAGTCATTGTTTATGCAAATATAATTCATACCTCTTAGGTAAAATTCTCTCCTCCTTTCCACCACTCTGACTGTCATACATTCATTCGCCAAAGTCTGTGAAAAGTGTAGACATTCTGCTTGTGTATGATACAATGGTCACCTGACTTCAAGAAGCATTTTCATCCATCCATCCATGAGCGAGAGTTTGGAGGAAGTTAACGAGGGATCACTAGCGGCTGTTTGGGAGCCTTTCATGTCCACCTAAGCTGGTTATAAATCTACTCAATCATTTCCATCCATCCATCCATGAGTGAGAGTTTGGAGGAAGCTAAGGAGGGATCACTAACGGCTGTTTGGAAGGCTTTCATGTCTATCTAAGCTGGTTATAAATCTACTCAATGTGGGTGTAATGATGGACATTTAATTTGTTTTTTCAACCTCATACAGTATCACACTATTGGTGTTTTCTTTTTTATTTTCATAGCTTTATGTGGAATGCTTTTTGGAGGGATATTCAGTAAGGAATCGACAAAGGGAAAGACACCTGTGGAGACTACACCCCACCTCTAAGCCTGTTTTGATTCTGAAAGCCTTATTAGCTTTAGAATCCACTTTATCTGGTGAGTGCGGGTGAAATTACTTTCCAATGATGATGTGAGCACGCTGGAAATTTTATTTCTTCACTTTTTTACCACGTTTTGTTTGGGACACTGGACTTTATTTTGGATCCCTTTTGGACTTATAACTTATTTTCACTTTGCACTATTATTTGCGCTGTGTTTATTATGAGAAAAGTGTATATAAGACCAGGGGCGGACTGACAGCTCATGGGGCCCCTGGGCAATAGGGGATCATGGGGCCCCTGTGTGCCCTTGCCCAAACTCAAAAAAGCCTATGAAAAAGGTACCAGAGGCATCACATGGGGCCCATTCTGACCCTGGGCCCTCGGGCAGTGCCCGAGTTTCCAAATGGTCAGTCCAGCCCTGTATAAGACACATTGAGGGGATGGTGACAAAGCTCTGTCTGGCAGACAGGCTGTAAAAATGTTACCAAAAACAAAGAGGGTAGAGTAGGGAAGAGTTAAAGTCTCTCATTTTTTTTTTGTGACCTCATTGGGGAGATTTTTCTTCATTCCTGACATGTAATAGCCATTTAAGAGAGTGGAGTTGCGTCTTTTACCAGAACAGGAAGGCACAGCCATAGTAAATTAATTGATAGAAGTTTAACCCTTTAGCACTCTCTACTATAAATAATAGTGGTGCACCAAAATGAAAATTCTGGACTGAAACCAAAACTGAAAATTCAGGATGCACTTGGCTGAAAACCGAAACCAACATTAACAGTTTAAAAAATATATTTTTTTTTTTATATATCATTGTTTTATATTCAACTTTTTAATTAATATATAATTTAAATGAGCATGAATTTAAAAAGTAACTTCCATTAAAGTAAAATAACTTTTATTGAAAGAAAACACAAAAATTGGACAGAAAATACAATGAAATATATATAAAATTAAAAAAATTAAACAGAGACGTTTTTGCATTGAGGTCAATGGGGGGCATTTTTGCACTGTAGTCAATGGGACGTGATTTTCCTTTGAAGTTAATGGTGTGTAATTTTCCATTGAAGTCAATGGGACACGATTTTGAATTTACATCAATAGGGGACGTGTTTGCATTATGGTCAATGGACTGCGATTCTGCATTGATGTCAATGGGATGCGATTTTGCATTGAAGTCTATAGGGGGTGTTTTTGCATTGCACTCAAAGGGACGCAATTTTGCTTTGAAGTAAATGGGAAACAATTTTGAATTTAACTCAATAGGGGACATTTTTGCATTACGGTCAGTGGAATACAATTTTACATTGATGTCAATAGGACGTGATTTTGCATTGAAGTCAATAGGAGACATTTGGATTGAAGTCAAAGGGATGCAATTTTAATTTGAAGTTAACGGAATTTGAATTTTGCATTGAAGTCAAAGGGACGCGATTTTGCAATTTTGCATTGAAGTCAACAGTATATGTTTTTTTTTTTCTATCGCCAAAATGACAATAACCCTATTTTCAGCTGATCATTTATGGCGGTCGACATATCAGTGCATCACTAATAAAAAAATGTTTTCTTTTCTGTGTCTGCATTGATAGATTTCCTTCTCCTCACTTCCTGTCTTGTCAGGAAGTTATGGGAGATCTCCAAAATAGGAACAAAAACAGTAAAAAAAAGGCTCTAACGCTTCTTGTTGTATAAAACTGAAAATAAAACATTTTTGGTGTAGTTGGGCTTTAAATTTCTGCCTACTATTCAAAATCTGTTTCACTTCATTCAGCTTCCTTTCTTCAGAAACTGTTGGAAGGTGTTCAGTCCTCAGTCCTAGTGCTAGCATCCACATTGAAGCCATATAGGGGGCACCAAGTAGTGGATTGTCTATATTTGCCTAGTGTTTGTGAGCAGGGGCGGACTGGCCATTGGGGAACTCTGGCACTGCCCGAGGGCCCGGGGTCAGTAGGGGGCCCCATGAGATGTCCCTGGTACCTTTCATAGGCTTTTTTAGGTGTGATTTGAGTGTGGGCGAGGACACAGGGGCCCCATGATCCCATATTGCCTGGGGGCCCCATGAGTTGTCAGTCCGCCCCTGTTTGTGAGTGCAGGTTTTCTCCCACCGTCCAAAAAATATACCGGGAGCTTAAATGGCCTCCATCCAAACTGTTTGACTGTAGAAGGAACATTGCAGCATAGGGATTGATGTGAACAGTATAATCTATGTACTTTGTAAAGCAAATGTATTAAATAAATTGTAGTTTAATCTGCTTTTTTGGGAAGTATCCAAGAAGCAGCTTTTGAAGAGGTGTTTTTGGACAATACCAATCTGAATACTGAAAACATTTGGAAACAAATATATCTGCATGACGGAAGTGAAAGCTCACAATGAGATATTACTTCTGTCATGAATTCTGGGGTTATTTTTAGAGTTTATGGAACTTAGCTGAAACAATTTCCTGGTAAGTCATAGAGAAATTCTACTACGCTGCACAATGAGGTGGAACAAAATACGTTTTGTGTGACTTTTTAAGCGGTAGTAAACTCTAGTAACAAGAAAAAAAAAAGTTTTCCCCTGCAAGACGAAGGCTTAATGTGCTAGTATGCATCACATATGAGCATATTATGAAATGCTTACCTTTAAAACGAAGCCCTCCAGTGGCTCGCTGTCACCGCTGACAGGGCTTCCATCTTTACTCGGTCCTTTTTCCGGGTTTGCGGGCTCCGGCGGCTTGAATGGCTGAGCTGCGATGACGTCACTCCTGCGCATGCGCATAGGAGTCACTTTTTATGGCACACAGCTCTGAAGGAATGGCACGGGCATAAATATCATCGGTGCACGTTTAGGGGATATTTACAGTACCTACAGGTAATCCTTATTATAGACTTACCTGTACGTACAAGTTAAAAATCAGACTGTACTACCACTGTAAAGGAAACAGTCATTGCTGACCTCCTTCTGAGTTGCCTGACTATCTCTGGCTTTAATACTGTCTTGGTCACTGACCCTAGAATGCACTGATTAGAAAGTCAGAAAGAACGTCATAACTCTTCATCTGCATACTTTCTCTAGGTCTGTGCCTTAGATTTTATTAAAGCCATTGGGTCAGCATGACAGCCATTTTCAAATACAAGTCAACAATGGAACCCTCATAATCTCTACGTACGGTCTTCTTTTAGGTCACTCTAGCGCATTCATAGATGGTAAAATCTTAGAATAGGTGAAGGTTTTTCTCTAACACCATTTTTAACCACATGCCGCCCAGCCACTGTAGAAATACGGCGGCAGGGCGGCACGGCTGGGCAAAACCACGTTTTAAATGTGTGTTTTTTTAAAACAGGTAGGGGGCGCACGTGAGACGCGCCACCGCCCTACCTGTCCCGCCGATCACAGCCGCGGGTGTCAGTCGTCGGGTCACAGCCGGTCGTTACCGGCTATGTCCCGGCGATCGGCGGCAATCGCTGACAGAGAGCACAGCTGCAGTAGCTGTGCTTTCTGTCAGTTCCCTGACAGCTCCAGGACACGCTGATCGGGACAGAAGAGTTTCTCTCTCCCGATCAGCGGTGTTCCCTGCAGTACACACCCCCGCCCCCTAGTAAAACACTCCCCTCACACAGTTAACAATTTCCCTGAATAATAAACTTAACCCCTTCCTCCCCAGTGCCATTAGTACAGTGTCAGTGTTTTTTTTTTGCACTGATCACTGTATTGGTGTCACTGAGGATGTCAGTGACCCCAAGTCAGTACCCCCCAATGTCAGAATGTCTGCCGCAGTACCGCAGTCCCGCCATAAGTCGCTGATTGCCGCCATAAGTCACTGATCGCCGCCATAAGTTGCTGATCGCCGCCATTATTAGTATAAAAAAAACTAAAATTCCCAGTATCTTTCCCGCCATTTGTAAACACTATAACTTTCACGTAAACCAATTAATTTCCACGTATTGGGTTTTTTTTTTTTAGCAAAGACATGTCGCAGAATGCATTTTGGCAGAAATTTATGACTAAATTTGATTTTTAAATTTTTTTTTTACTGGACATGTTTTATAGCAAATAGTCCAAAATATTGTTTTTTTCCTCAAAATTGTCAGCCTTTTTTTTTTATAGCGCAAAAAATAAAAACGCACAGGCGATCAAATACCACCAAAAGAAAGCTCAATTTGTGGGGAAAAAAAGGATGTAAATTTCATTTATGTACCGTTTTGCATGACTGCTCAATTGTCCGTTAAACTAGCGCAGTGCTGTATAGCAAAAAAATGGCGTAAATTGCAGTATTTATACCATAGTTTGTAGACGCTATAACTTTCACACAAAGCAATCAATATACACTGATTGGGATTTTTTTACCAAAAACATGTAGCAGAATACATTTTGGCCTAAATTTATAACTAACTTTGAGTTTACGATATATTTATTATAGCTGAAAGTAAAAAATATCATTTTTCTTCAAAATTTTTGGCCTTTTTTTGTTTATACCGTGAAAAATAAAAAGCGCACAGGTGATCAAATACCACCGAAAGAAAGCTCTATTTGTGTAAAAAAAAGGACGTAAATTTAGTTTGGGTGCAGCAGTGCATGATCGCGCAATTATCAGTTGAATTAGTGCAGCGCCGAGTAGCAAAAAGAAGCCTGGTCATTAAGGGGGGTAAATCCTCTGGAGGTCAAGTGGTTATAGCACTACTAAACCCCAAACCAAAAATTTTATATATTGCAGCTTACCAAACATTAGATGCGGTGCTTGCATTAGTATTCTTTTTTTACGCCTTTTCCCCCCTTTGTTTTCACCTGGGAATCTGGCCAGTAATACACCTCCTGTATTAGAGTGTTTCCATTCTGCAGGAAGGAGCACAGGGGCACAGCAGACTGCATCACTGTCAGTCTGGGGGGCAGGGAGTGTTAAATGTACTAGCAGGTTTAAATACACTAACAAATTGAAGCTAAACTCCAGCTCACACTTTATAATCAGTTACAGCAAACAGTGTTTTTTTTTTTTTTTTTCCTTTTGGGATAAAGGTTTTACATAAATAAATAAAAGCTGATCATTGTAAGCACCTCTGCAAGTGTTAAATGGTTTGTCACATCCCTGTAAACTTACATCTGGAAGAGAGCTTGTTCTTCTCAAAACAACAGACTTGTTTACTGGCTGCTGGATCTCCAGATGAAAATAGAAGAAAGCCTAAAAAAAAAACAATCTGGCTATCACATCTAAGAATTGATAAGCTGCAATATAATAAAAGTGTGCTTTTGGTTTTAATTGTGCTTTAACACTTTACCATAGCAATACGGAAGTAAGAACCAGACCAAAGATGAATTAAAGAATCCAATATCATTTTTTATTGTTGATAAATTGATAGTTTAAATACAGCCAACATGCTGCGTAAGCAATACCACTCATTCATCAGGGCTACAAGAGTAAACATAAACCAACCATAATGATGAACGTTTATGTAGAACTATGCATGAATATGAGTATATACATAAATATAAAGGAATAAAACTATTGCTCTAACTCAGTGGTGGGCAACCTTTTTTTTCAACTGAGCCAAATCTCGCCAAAACCACGATTGAAATTTATTTTGAGAGCCACATTTTTAAAACTGAAAATACATCCCCCATATAGTAATTCATCCTCCATAGTAATTCATCCCCCCCATATAGTAATTCATCCCCCCTATAGTAATTCATCCCCCATATAGTAATTCATCCCCCATAGTAATTCATCCCCCATATAGTAATTCATCCCCCATAGTAATTCATTCCCCATAGTAATTCATCCCCCATATAGTAATTCATCCCCCATATAGTAATTCATCCCCCATAGTAATTCATCCCCCATATAGTAATTCATCCCCCATAGTAATTCATCCCCCATAGTAATTCATCCCCCATATAGTAATTCATCCCCCATATAGTAATTCATCCCCCCTATAGTAATTCATCCCCCCTATAGTAATTAATCCCCCATAGTAATTCATCCCCATATAGTAATTCATCCCCCATATAGTAATTCATCCCCCCTATAGTAATTCATCCCCCCTATAGTAATTAATCCCCCATAGTAATTCATCCCCCATAGTAATGCATCCCCCATTTAGTAATTCATCCCCCATAGTAATTAATCCCCCATATAGTAATTCATCCCCCATAGTAATTCATCATCCCCCATATAGTAATTCATCCCCCATAGTAATTCATCCCCCATATAGTAATTCATCCCCCATAGTAATTAATCCCCCATATAGTAATTCATCCCCCATAGTAATTCATCCCCCATAGTAATTCATCCCCCATATAGTAATTCATCCCCCATAGTAATTCATCCCCCCTATAGTAATTCATTCCCCATATTGTGTCAATTCACTTACCTTTGCTCCACGCATTCCTCTCGCCGTGTTCCCGTGCCGTTCCGGTCTTCAGGGCGGACTGTGAGAGGAGAGGAGTTCGTCACGCTGCCCCGCCTACATCCTGACAGCCAATGTTTGCCACGCTCCGCGGGCCGGATTAAAAGGTCCGCCGGGCCGTATGCGGGCCGTAGTTTGCCCATTGCTGGGCTAGCTGCAGAGTCCTGACTTTTGGGGCGGCCGCCCGAGAGGAGGGAGGGGAGCGGGCGCCCGGCACACAGAAGCGCCGCATTAATGTGTGTAAAGAGCCACATGTGGCTCGCGAGCCGCGGCTTGCCTACCACTGCTCTAACTGATGAAAATGTGTTAGCTCAAGTTTGGCTTTAATTTGCTAGTCAAGTCCATCTAAATCTGCTAGTACATCTAATTCTATCCTCCCCGCTGATGAACAACTCTACTATCCAAAGGTTGTTCCTTTTTCTCCTCCAGTGGACAGACAAGACAGGCTGGAGGAGATTTACTAAAACTGGAGCACTAAGGCAGGCCATAGACGGGCCGTTTGTCGACCGAATTGTCGGCCGATAAATGAAAAATCGGTCGAATTGTCGTCCGATAAACTAAAAATCGGTCGTTGCCGATGCTACCACCAATGTCTATGAAAAACGGCCGTTTTTT